GACATTTACTGTTGTAGCCATGGTACTTAATAGCGCCTGGTGACTGTGCCCGATGAACGTCGTTGGCCGGGGTTTATATCGGTAGGAACGGCTCGTGCGACTATGCCCCAGGTGATGACGCAGACGATCCAGCGGGGAGGTGCATCGTTCAGCCATGGGACAGGAGGGTGGAGGAGGCTGTATTCGGCTTACGGTTGCCATGACAAGAAGGGCAACCTCAATAACTGCAGAAGCGTACTACCCTACTTCACCCTATGTAACCCCGGCACCCCCTCAATCCCCAAGCCTCTCTTAAACTCTCCTAACTCGCTAGGGCTGATTTTTTTGGTGGGTGGGGTCTTTGTGTTTGGTCATTTTTCTTAGCAAAACTTCCTGCGTTTCCTGCACGAATGTAAAGGAACCCTGTACTTTCTCGAGGTTTTAGCGAAGAACGGGAAGGCAGAAAGGAAGGGTGGAAGGAAGGAAGGAATGCAGGGAAGGAAGCAAACAAGCTAGGAAGATCTGTGGTCAGAGAAACAGAAAAACACCTAGGCCCCGGCATACAACACGCCCATACTTAGATGTTACAGAAAATGTGCGGTTGTACATGACCTGAGCAGTTCTCCATATGATTCAATGCATTTTGCAGAGCCCTCGCATGAGGCTACCCCCAAGACCCTCAACTCCAGAAGGCCCTCAGCCACGAGCCCCCAACGGACAGCTGCGTCATGCGCCAGTTGATCCGGGGCAGTTCAACCCCTTCTTCCGAGAGTTGACGCTGCGGCTGCAGTCGGGGAGCAAGGGCCGGGTGTTGCACGCATTAACATGACCGCAGCATCATGAATCCTGGACCCTTGAAGCCATGTCTTGCAACTTGCAACCGCCCAAGCAACCTCTCAGGAACGGCATACCCCGCCTGGATGAGGCCAGTGCGAGAGGGGGGAGGGAGGGGAGTCGGGGGGGAGCTGGGTTGAATCAAGCACGCGCCGAAGTGCAGGGAACACCACAATAGATAGGGTTTAGGTGTTTAGGATTTAAGTTTAAGCCTTCTATAATGAGTGTGTACAGGTCCTATTAGGCTGGCGCTAGACTCCATGCAGTTTTCCTCGGAGATATGGGCCTTGAAAAAGGCCTCCCATCCGCATGAAAATCCCCAAAAGGCGGAGGAAGGTCTTTACCTCGAAGCCAGGCGCAGGAGTACCACGTCACCACGGCCGTCGATATGGTCCTGGAACAGTTCTCCAAGGATCTCGGAAGGCGTCGCTGTGTGTGCTCTTGGTTTACCGAGGCTACACCTTTTGCACGCCCAGGATCCAGGGCAGCCTCTTCCGCAAGACGACCTTGATGCCCAAGCAGCTTACGTTCGAGGCCTTTGCTACCTCGGGGCCTAGGGGTTCGCGGTTCTCCAGCTTTTGGGCTTGGGCCGAGACTTTCTCGCAGCTTGGGACTTTGTTTTTTCTGCCTCCCCAAAGAAGCCTCGCCAGGAAGTGTTTAACCCTCTGGAGATCTGCTTGGATCGTCCGGAACCCAATTTGCTGTCGCTTTCAGGGCCAAATTTTGTGTGGCGAACCCGGACTTGAGCCGAGAATCCAAGCCCCTGTGCCAAACAAAGGAAAACCTCCGAAGTTTTATGCACAAGACCAGCTCCGTAAACCCTAAACCCGGTTGTTTTTTGTTCCTTCTTTTCCTGCTGCTCTGAGGCGTGGAGAAGGTCTGGGGCGCCATCGCTCTGCTGAGGAAGTCCTGGCGGCCCTCCCCGGAGGTGCCTTTTGCCGCTGCTAACCTTGTTTAACCCACCTGGACCCGCTGCTGTCATATAATATGGGGAGTCGTTGTGATACTGCCACCATGTGAAAGCCCTGAAACAGAGCTCTCACAGGCCCCGAAGCTCTCGGAATGAGGTGAAGGTGATGAATCCCAGGAAGATACGTAGGCCCCTGAGGCCCCCCATCCACACAGGTAGACGAGATCTACCACGGCCTCTCCTATCGCATTGCCACGGCAGCAGCGATCCTGGCGCAGTCGGACATCCTCCACCAGGCCGGAGTTGATATGTAAAAGGAAAAGGACCAGGTCCACAGCCACATGCAAAGCAGATTCAGAAGGGCAAGTTCGTAGGATCAAGCCTTTTAGGTTAACGGTTTCGGTCCAGGTTTCGGGGGTCAGTTTCTTCAAAGGTGCAGGGGGTTTCTGCTCTCAACCTTCCACGCGAGGCCCTGTATCAGCTGCTGCAGCTCAGCGAGAGCGACCTGAGCCATTCCTCTGCATGCGTTTGCGGAGGTTCACGGCTGTGCTCGCGGGTTTCAGGAAGTGGGGCGCGGTCCTCTCCCTCTTATTTTCCTTGAGGGCATTTTGCATCTGCAGCAGCCATGCGGGAATCATACTGTGCCTTTGCATCTCATGGTTCCTTGATTTACCCGGCCTCACCCCCCCCCCCCCCCCCGTCCCCTGTGTCCCCCCCCCCTCGTCCAGCCGTAAATCCAAGGCGAGGCCCAGCATCGCACCGTCCGGTGGGGACCTCAGCCTCAGGCAAAGCTTGGTTTGAGTTTTTGGGGCCCTGAGCCCCAAAGCCCCAAAGCCCCCCAACCCGTTTGGGATCCTGCGCTCCGTTGGAAGGAGGGGACTGCAGGCATCTTTCAACGCCTCTTCTTCTTGAGGTTGTCCAGGTTCGGTTGCCTGTAAGAGAGTAGATAGCCCCCATCCTTACTGCTTTCCGGTATGGCCACTGATTTCGGGCTGCAGCCAGTGGCATATCATGCTTGCTGCATGAGGGATTGTTGCGAGGGGCACCGATGAACTCGATGGCGTCATCTGCAAGAACCTGCCGCCGCCGTGCGGCATGCCTGCCCGAATCCGCACCTCGCCCACCTCGAGCTCCCAAACCACAAGAATCCCCACACCCCCTACAACTCAGAAGGTTCAGGCTTCGGGTCCTTTTAGTATTTAGGGTTGTGGTCCCTGCCCTTCTGCAAAGAAAGAACACCATCAGTTCAAGGCGGCTCTTGTGGGAGGGCATCCTCATGGGCACCCTGGCCGCAGTTTTAGTTGGATTCTTGGGAATGGCCAGGGCATGAAACAGGGAGGGGTTCATGGGGTTCGGATGGGAACCTATAGGGTTCCGGAGCTTGCCAAGTTTGGGCCAAGAGCAGGCTTCTGAGTGGGGTCTGCGTGTTTTTGATGGGTGGTTGCGTCCAGGAGGAGAGTGGGTTTCAGTTAGAGGTTCACAGTTCCCTTCTCTTGGAGTCTCTGAGCCAAAACGACCAGAGCGTCGGGGGGGCCGGGGGGGCAGGGCAGGGGGGCCAGAGGGGGGGGTGGGGGGGGGCGGGGTTTAGGAAGGGGTTGCGTATTAGGGTCATGGTCACGAGACGAGGCCTTTTTCTCTGGGCACATCTGTGAGGCGTGGAGGTCACGGACCCCGAGACTGCGCAAGCCCTGGATGAAGGCTCAGGGCTTTGTGTGTCTTTGCGTGCAGCTGTGGTTGAGCGATGTCGATCCTGTAAACAGCCGTGCCGACTGAATGTCGTTGCAAACGAGACCGGGGATTTTGAGCGTTTTGCGGCTTGTAGTACGAGATTTGGTATTCGCGCTGTCGGTTTATTTATAGGGTCTTTAGGGATGAGGGCTATATCGTTTACATAGGGGCTTGGGGCATTCCAGGATACTCTTTTCGTTGTATGCTTATGCAATACATACATGTTATTTACATCATACATGTATCTCTGTATATATGTTCTTCGAAGGCCGTGAGTGAGTGAGTGAGTGAGTGAATGTGAGTGAGTTATGTAGAAATGCATTCATGTGTTTTTGTATCATTTATCATCATATGTAGAACTTGGAGTTTTCAGGGTTAGGACCCTTTGGAGTTCGTACGGTGTAGGGCTTTTTTGGTTCATGGGGTTTAGCTCTAGGTTCAGGGCTTTTGGGGGTTCGGGCTTCGGGGCTCGTAGGGTTTAGACGAACGGCTTCAATATTTTGGGACTTGCATCCGGGTGATGCTCTATGGGGGTTTAAGGCTTTCCAATATGAAGGGGCCCTTATCTTCCTTATAGGGGTTTAGAGTTCAGAGGTTTAGGTAAATGCATCCTCCCTATAACCGATCGACCGATCGCCTCAGAACCCTAAAATGCTTCAGGGCCCACAGCGGATAGGCGGGTCACTTGTGACTTCTCTCGGGTGTCACCTGTGACTTCTCTAGCCGGCGAATTTGCAACACCTCTCAGCAAAAATGCATGAAATCACTTGTGACTTGTCTGGCTTGGGATCGGGTTTCAACCTTGAATCTTGGACTTTCTCGCACGGGTTCGCGGTTTGGGCTCAGGGTTCAGACGGTCATGGGATTGGGGTCTAGCCTCAGGGTTCAGGGTTTCGGGTTCACAGTTTCGGGTTTACGGTTTTAGGGTTTTGGGTTTAGTGTTTAGGGTCTGGGGTTTAGGGTTTAAACTTGAGGGTTGAGGGTTAAGGGTTGAGGGTTTGGGGTTTAGGGGTTAGTTTACGGTTTAGGGTTTCTACAAGGAAGGCCTTTGGGTTGTGCAGGGTATATAATTGGCTATAAGGGCTCCCCAGTTAAGTAGAACTACCCTACGAGAGTTAAAAGAAACCGATGCCCTTGCTCGGCCAGCATATATAGCTGTGAGGATTGAGCGTGTTTTTGTTTAGGATTTAGTTGGTTGTCTGCAAGTTTTGCAAGCTTGTGCGGCGATTGGGATGCCTTGCATATACATCGATCGGTTTGAGCAACAATCACGGTGGGCTCCGCCCTTTCATGTTGGCGTTTTGCCTTTCTCATTGAGGTCATGTCTGCAGCCATTCACGCTCTACAAGTTCTTACTTACTGTTGCGCCGCAACTCTGTGAAGACACAGCTCCTCGTGCATAGCATAGCGACTGCAGCTTCCAAGCACAGCGCAACTGAGTTCTTCGAGCAGCAGGTTGCAAACGTGTCACCACAGCCGCATTGCTTCCCTCGTGCTGGCCAAACGAGGTTTTAAAACGGTTTGCACAGCGCGCGAACCGCGAAGACAGGATGGGTTTTCGCTGGGCGCTGGCTCTGGCCGCAGCTCAGTGCACGAGCTTAAGGCCACTTCCGTGAAGCTTTCACAACCAACAAAATTAAGGAGTGTGTCCCGTCGAAGTACCGTGAAGCACCTGAGTGTCGTTTTTGAGAATGCATGCGTGCAATCCGACTCAAGTCCAGAGCGCCCTGTGCTAAGAGGCTGTGCTCTCAAGAGCTGGAAGAGAGGGCCAACTTGATCTCGGACCTGCTGTCCAAGTATTCCGGACCTTATGTTTATCAAGCAGGCCTTTTCCCTGCTTACTTTCAAACAACAGTCTTTACTTTCAAACAACAGTCTTTCGTGCAGTTTTCCGACACCCTCTTGCTTCTGGCAGGCCGTGAGCTTGTCAACCTTGCCTGCCGACGCAACTCAAGTGGCGCGGCACAGACGCTTTCAATTGAAGTGTTGATGGCGCAGCCAGGACTACCAATCGCAAAAGTCCAAATTTCCATGATTTTCAAAGCAATCCGAGGCCAGATACCAGACGCCTGGCACATGACGAGGTACGACCTCCCCCACCAGGTGTCAAGGAAACTCTGGCCAGGACCGAGGTCTCCTCCGAAGCACTGTCCCTCAGCTCAAACCTGTCGGTGAACCTTTCACGTGTGGCGTGAAGCTAAGCTGGTGTTTTCTGGCGGAGTGCATGTACGCTGAGGTGCCTTGTGCAGCCGAAGAGGAGGACTCATGTAGTCACGTAGGATTCCCTGAAGTTTGTAGGGAGGGCCCATGCTTCCTCGGCGCTTCTGTCGCAGGAGATGGTCCTGTGCTCTACATGACAGAGCGCACCGATGGAGTCTTAGCAGAAGTGATGTGTGCTCATGTTTCTGGGCTTGCTTCCAACAAGCAGCTTCAAGGGCTTGGGCTCCAAAAAAGCGTCGAGCATAAATTCTTCACGAACATTCAGGACAAGATCATCTCAACAGCTCCGTTTCTGCCTTGCAGGCCTGGGGTCCCGCGCCGCGCAGCTGCTACACGCGCTTGCCTTGACCTCGTTCCTCGAAATCGACTTCGGAGGCATTGTGCCGCCGCCTGGATAAGAACTCTTAGTTAGTCTTCCACAGGTTGAGAACTGTGTGTGTTGTGAGCTCGGCATCGTACACGGCCAGCTGAGCTGTGAAGAAACATCAGGGCACCACAACCACCTGAGAAGTGTGCCCCAGGCCTTAAATGAAATGCCTAGGTCTTGGAACGAGGAGCCTCATGGCGTTAATGCTGCAAAAGCACTCAGCAAACTGCTGGGCCATGATTTCTCCGAGTGCCTTGGTGAGAGATGTGAGGGCATCGTCAGAGCTGTTTGCAAGTTCCAAAACCGGCGGTCACGGCTGTCCAAGTACTCTCTGCATGTCACCTACGACCCTTAGACTTTCTTGTACTAGGACCGGCTTCAGGTTGCGAATTGGCACAGACTCGGAGTTTGACGTTTGCTTCTATAGCTACCTGCTTGAGAACAAGGGCCCTTGTTGGCGTGACACTGGGCACTGCATGTCCAGCGGCGGCAATTGTCCCGGCTGCTTTCCAGTTGAGAGTTGGATGGGTTTGGTGATGAAAAGCCCCCAGGCTTTCCAGACTTCCTGTCTGAGACTTTGCAGCACCGCTGCATGAGATGGCCAGAGCATGCGAGCATGATGGTGCCTTATCGAAATGGAAAAATGTGTCTCCTGAAGGCTGAGGCATGAGCCTAGGCATTCCAACCTTCATGCACTTCAAGCTAGGGTCGCTATACGTCTGTCTGGCTGCTTTGAGCTCTTTTTCCTTGAACCCAGGTGGCCTCGTACGACTTCCTCCGGGCACTTCCCGTGGAGACACTTGCCATGAGTTGCAAAAGCTCGGTAAGGATGTTGGAGTCCAAAGCGAGTGCCGCAAAAATCAACCCCCCACCCCCCCCCCCCCCCCGCAAACTCCTAAACCGACCCCCCTAAACCCTAAACCCCAAACACCAAACCCCAAACCCTAAACCCTAAACCCCAAACCCTAAACCCTAAACCCTAAACCCTAAACCCCTAACCCTAAACCCCAAACCCCAAACCCCAACCCCCCCCCGCCTTTTCAGGAACTGGGAGCCCGCCTTCCTGAAGCGACTCCGGCACCAGACGCCGCTTCGGCGCCAGGCGCTGCAGCACTTCGCCGGGCCGAGCCTCAAGGCGCTCTCGGTTGAGGGCTTCGGGTTCTTTAGTCTTTAGGGTTAAGGGTTTAGGGTGGGGGTTTATGGGGTTTAGGGTTGAAGGTTTTAGTGTTCTGCAGCTCCGGATCCAGCAGTGTTATAGTACCGTTACATGTACGGCCTTGGATAGAACACCCACCGCCATCCACCACCCAGAGAATCCCAGAACGTTGAGGAAAAAAGCAAAACTCCAATCATACAACAAAGTTCTACTCACCAAAACTTGTCTTTTTATACAGTTACGGACCATCCCCTCTCGACGTTGAAATGCGCAACACACCTTTCAGACCTTTTTTCCTTGAACCCCACGCATCCGTGTTTTGGGCTGGCGGTTTTGGCCGGAGCTGTTACGGAACTTTTTGGGCCTGTTTTCTTTTTCGGGCTTGGCTGCGAGGACTGCAGGAGCCGGCAATTCCGTGGTTTTTTTGGGCATGTTTTCTTTTTTCGGGCTTGCCTCGAACATCAACCAAGACCTAACCCTTGCTGTCTTAGCTTTGCTTCATAGCCTCAAACCTGCGATTTGGACAATCCCCTCCCCACCCTTGTACCACGCTCGACGAATTGCCTTGCCCACTGTTCAAGGCCAAAAAACTGGCCTTGACCCACGGCTCAGGCCTAAAAAATCGTGGCACAAGGCAAAGAACTTGCCTTGAACCACGAAGGACGGGCCTTGAACCACTTACTGTATGAAGGGCTGGCCTTGAACCACGAAAGATTGGCCTGGAGCCACGTGTTAGCCTTGCCTGGAACCACGAACAATTAGCATTGAACCACGAACGATGGGCCTTGGACCACGAACGATTGGCCTTGAACCGCGAACGATTTGGCCCTGAACCTGGCCTTGGACCATAGTTCAAGCCCCAAGACTGGCTTTGAACCACCAAGCAGTCGTGGTTCAAGGCCCAAAACGACGATTGGCCTTGAACCACGAACGATTGGCCTTTAACCACGAACGATTGGCCTTGAACCACGAAGTCATTGAAGTTTACATTAATATATGATAGAGAGGGTTTAGGGTTTATAGGGTTTATGGTCATTGGTGGCTTAGTTTTTTGTCTTGGGGGAGGGGGGGGGGGGCACTTGGTGGGAGTTGAGGATCTTATGTCTTTGATTTGGTGGTTTAAGGTTGGGTTTGGAGGTTCCAGGGCTTCAGGTGGGGGGGGTTGTTGCTTTCTAGGGGCCGAGGGTTCAGGCTTCAGTTGGTTTTCAAGCTGTTGCAGCATTTGAATCAGGGCACCTACTAGACTAAAACACCTTACGAGAAGGCTGTCAGTCAAGTGTAATCTCACCGCTGGTTCCGTCAACCTACCCAGCGAGTGGAGAAGGCATGGATGTCAACTTTGAACATTCCGGATCTGGAGCACCATTAGCTCAAGCGCAGGTTGTCCTGCACATTCGGCGTGGAGACGTCGTTGGCCATGGGATTCTTGTATGCACAGAGTCAGCAACAGAAGATGCAGCTGGCAGCTCAAGTGAGTCCAGGTTGTGGAGTTGGAGATGTCTACAATCTTGTTGGAGGGTGGTGCGGGCATGAAAGGAGAGGAAGGCGACATCCAATACGTTGCCTGCGTGCACGCGATCTGCCAGCCTTCCGTGTTTCCGACCAAAGCCTGGTAGCCAAGGAATCCCAGGAACTTTCCGGATGAAGTTTACTTTCACTTGGCGGAGCAGATTCGGGAGGATGTGCCTGAGGCCCTGAGCAAATTTTGTCTTGGGGCGACAACTTGCCGAAGGCCCTCCCCCCCCCCCCCCCCCCCCCTTGACCTGCTCAGGCCGAGATCCACGTCTTCAGCACGACCAAGGAAGCAGCAGCACACGTGGATTTCTCTGGCTACCATGCCACTCTGTGAGAAAGTTGCCAGGGTGCCAAACATGGACATATAGCTTCTATGCACAGTGCACAAGCCTCTAAACTCCTGAACTTTCCTAAGCCTGTAACTGCAATCGGAATTTTGCCCTTATACTGCCACCAAGGCCAGAGGCATGATCGTGCACCTTGACGGTGATGAAGCGGACGACTGGGCACATATGGCGTCGCCCTGCTGTGTTCATGGAACAGACGCCAGAAGCCGTCCCCACCGTAGACCCTACAGACCTCAGACCAAAGAAACATAGTATATATGTATACATATATATGTAATTTCAGACAGCCCAAACCCAAACCAAACACGCAGCTACTTTCCCATACTGCTGCAGCTGGGGGACCCAGAGGAGGCAGAAGATTGGAGATTCACGACGCTTTCCTGAAGCCCTGGCATGCCACCGAGGCAAGCGGAGATCCTTGTCCTGGCTCCCAGCTCCTTCTCCTGGGTCGCGGGAGTCCTCAACGACAAGCAACTTGAGCGCACGATGGTTTCCGAGGCAACATGAGGGCTGAGGCTGGCAAGGGGGGAGAGGGGGGGGCTCCTTGAGCTAAGGTGCGTGCTCGCATTCAGAGGAACGGAGGCTTTGCCTGAGTGGATCGTGCACACCGGCACCTTGCACAGAGAGGACCATCTTCGGCTCAGACGATGCCTAGACCGTCTCAGGGAAAGCTAAGGCGGAAGAAAAGAGCAGCCTTGTTTTTCGAGTTTCCAGCCCTAAGCCTTCTACACCTCCAACCTTCAACGCCTAACCAGCCTGTTCCCCAGACCTGAGACACCCTCAATCCCTTCACCCCAAAGCTTGGACTTTGGTGGTTGTAAACGTGCCCAAACCCCGCAAATCCATGCAAATCCTGCGCCGTTGGCTTGGGAGAGGCAACAAGCAGCTTGGCCTTCTCAGTGCCACTTTCGCGGAGAACCTGGCGCACAGCCAGGCTCCAATGGTGTGAAGAGGGATCCCGGCTTTAGGGAGCTCGGGCTTCCCCCCCCCCCCCCACCTTCCCGCACGGAAATCCTTCTGCCACGACGTAGGCGCAACCCCTCGCCCTGCGCAGCGAGCGCAGCGCTGTGGAGGGGCTCCCGAAGGAGGCGCCGACCGTGGAGGTAGAGTTCATTGTTGCGGAGTGCATTGGGTTCTTGGACTTGGCATGTCACAAACACTATGCAAACGACTTCCACCTGGACCTGACCGAACCTTCAGGCTGCAGATATTCAGACCACGCAATGGACGTACGAGTTTTTTTTTTGTTCGCTTCCCCCCCGCCGCTTGGTGTTGCTGGATGCTTGGGCTTTATGCACTGATGCATGCTGAATCCCGGACTGCAGTTGGGATGAGAGCTAGTGGCATCCTCCCACCGTTGGTAACAATGACCCCACAATGGCTCGGACATCTGCTCACAGGGCGCTTGTTCCTCTGTTGGTTAGACAGTTAGACACATTGACCCTGCAAAGGTCCTGGCAGAAGCTGCAGAAGAGGCCTCTTTGGCCGGCCACGAAGCATCGCCAGAGGCAAGGTCCCCCGACCTGGGTCTTCGAACTGGGAGGGCTGTAAGAGTGTGCGATCCAACATTTAAGCACTGAGGGTCGTATCCGAAGCAAACATAAGCTCTGCAGTGTCAGGGTTCAGGCCGAACTTGTAAGCATGCGAATGCTCAGTCGGGCGCTGCGACGTCCTGGCTGCGAACAGACTAGCTACCCCTAACATATCCGAATCATCCTCGCATCATCCTTCGCAAATGCCTTCCAGGCAAACCTTGCGTGCAGGCATGTGCAGCCCCCCCATTCGCTGTAGCATTGCCTTCGGAGCTTCCGCAAGGATGGACCTTGGCTGTTCACCTCTCAGCGATCAGCCGGAAGCCACAGAGAACCCCCGAGCCCCAAACCCCGTCCTGGCTGTCGTTCTCTCGTGCCTCGCTCACCTCATACAGGAATTCAGGAAGATTGTTGACAGGACTGTAGTAATTGCACATTTCCCGGCACAAGGACAAATGATCGTGTTCAGGTGTTTAAGTGAGAAGTCCGAGCTCAGAATCATGTTGCAGCGGACGAAGTCGGAAGATCGCTTCAATGCAGAAGCGCTAGCCACTGAAAGGCCGACACCCAACAGCCAAGGCCCCCCATGGAATCGCCCAAGACAAGGATCGTACCGTTCCTGCTATTCGACAGGTGAATATTTTTGCGGGGCCATGTGATTCTAGTTTCATGTTCCTATTCAGAGCAGTCAAAAAGTCTAGTTCTTCCATGATGGCCACTGCCTAGGTCCTCGAGGTCCTCCAGTCCCATGCAAAGGCACCGTTTCGGGGGCCTGTGAATTTGTGTTTGGTAGGGGTTTGGGTGAAAAGGAGTGACGCCACAGCTTCACACAAACAAGAGCCATCTCACAACGAGGGCACCGGCAAGCAAAGACACAAGGCTGCTAATTCAAGCCTCAGGCCTCCCCAACACTGCAGCCCTAATTGAGTGCATTTTGTACGAAGTCGTAGCTTTAAGTCAACAAGATGTTGTGTCCAGTTCGGGGTGTTGTTGAGACTCACAAGTCCGGGATTCCGGCGTATCAAAACAAGCACAAAAAAGCCAGACGCAAGCCAATCAAGCTGGACAGGACGCTGGCCTCCGCGAAGAGGCCTTCCGAACGCGCTGGAGGCATCTCTGTGGCAGTACCAGGTTTTTCGCAGTATGACTCCATGATAAACTCTCAGAATCGGCGTTCATATCTTCACATTCTCTCGTTTCAACTCTAAGCCGAATTTTCTCGGTCAGCAATCCAATCCGAGACAGAACGGAGCTGCGCCGTCGCGTAAGCGAACCACAGTGACTGCAGTCCAGCTGCGAGCTCTTTCGAAGACCCCCCGAGAAAGCCCTCAGCCAATTGAGAGCATTAATAGAAAGGTCTGGCTATGGATGCCTCTGAGTTTTAAACCACGCTACCCAAGGCAGTACTTCAGAGTTCCCCAAGCTCAAGGATCCTGAAACCAACGCGCACAACACGCTCTTGTGACCCCTTGAGATGCACTCTAGGCTTGGCAGCAGCGGCTACGATGCGGATGTGGAAGGTACCTGGGTTCAGTCTGAGAAATGAAGAGTAAGGAATGTGAAGGGCTTTAGAGGGTGTAAGAATGCTTGGATCAGGCTGGCGTTCTGTCGAAGTCGGGTCTGAACAGGATCTGCAGAACCTTGGATCCTTCAGCGCCCCTTTATAAACTCCCCTGTGCCCTTCAGATGCTTAAGGCAACCTCGGCGTGATAACGGAGATGCTGAGACATCGGCAGGCCAGTGGGCAGACCTCCTTTTCTTGGTTTGGGTGCCAAACTTCGGAGTTGCTTTCGGGGCTTTGTTTGGGCCACCGATTACATGCGGCTCTTGTGACCATTGCATCACGAAGCCCTAAGATGCACCCAACATCCCCGAAACCGGAACCTGAACCGGCGAACCCCAATCCTGAGCTCAACTTCTTCACCTCACGCCCCTTTCCCCGCCACCCACCCTCACCCTAAGCTTATAAGCCCTCAAACACAAAAACTCACCCCAAAACCCCCCCCCCCGCCCCCCCCCCGACTGCCGAGTTCTGGGCATCGACTTTGGGTGTGACCCTGAGCTATAGGCTTGTGTTTGGGAATGGAGCTTCAAAGGCGATGTGTGTCAAGCCGGTTCATTCATGAGAGCAAGGCTTCTGCTACATCCGGAAAGCCCGGGAATCAAAGACGGATCCACTTTGAGGGACCATGGCTTTGCAGCAACACAAGACCCCATTGCCATAGCATGAGCTCACATCCTCCATTCCAAAATTGGAAGCTCTTCATCGTGATTTCATTAGTGATGGGCGTTGTTCTGCCTCCCCCAGCTGGATCAGACGCAGAAGAAGCGCTGCCCTCATTCCAAAACCCCTTAAAGCCAGCCCGTTGACTCCCAAGCCATATCGTGCTCGCTCGAGGAGGTTTTGAGGGAAGCTTGTTTTTTGTTGTAGCAGAACCTGAAACCTGAAAGTCCGGCCGTCTACAGGCCTTAAAGAGGGGACCTCTCTGTGCCCCCGAAGCTCCAGCTGCCTCTGTCGAGGCTTCCCAAGCTTCGCAGACCTGGTGTTCCAGTCGCGCATGTCCACTCGCGAGGAGGTCTTCCGGCAAATTCCTGCAAGTCGAATGCGCCGGTTGAAAACGCAAACACAGTTGCTCCAGTCAAATGAACCCACTATCGTCTACCATCCGTCTGCCCTGAAGTCAAGCGTTGTTTTCGCAGGGTCGGCAGGAGGGCGTGCCCCAATGTGGCCAAGGGGCTGTTGTTTTGTCCTAGATCGTGAGAAGCACTGGACAAGGCCTTGTATATTATTTATGCTGCAAAAGGCAACATCATGTAGTTCGAGAATATGCCACCTGAGTCTCCCAAAAGGCCTTCCCTGCTGAAGGAAGCTGCTGCAGGGACCATGACCCAGTTGACTGGGTTTTCTGAAGGAAGTGCTTGTGCGTTGCAGACCAGAAGCTTGTAGCTCCTCGTCACTATTCGGAGTACTCTGAGATGGTTCTTACTCAAGGTGACTCAAGGTCCCTTTGCAGGTACCATTCAGACCAGAGTAAGTAGGGTTCCTCAAAAGGAGAGGATCCCCAAAACAAGACCCTAGCCAGAAACCTACAATCTGCGAAGCCTCAGCAATTCATCGGCAGCAGGTGGATGCGTTGCTGGGTGCCCTACGGACCACCAGCGAGGCCTGCGTCAGCATGCTGTGCTTCAGCTTTGAACTTCATGCCAATGAGGAGTCTGAGTTGGATTTCACAGGCGCCTAATCCCTGACTCACTTACAAACGCAGAATCCCGTCCACAAAAGCTCCCAAGGGATCAAACCCCGAGCCACTTCCTGCACGGAGAAAAAGGGCCCCGAGAAGGCGCCGAAGTTAAAGATCAGGGTTTGGGGATGCTAGCCCCCCATCCATGCTTTGCTCTCGTACGGCCCATCTCTGCACAGGCCGCAGCTCAAGAAGAGCTGCAGGCACGTGAAGTTGCTGGGAGATGCCTTGCCCCGGCATGCCTCTGGAGACCCGGTCATCCCTCAGAATCCCTAAAAGGTGAAGCTTAAAACACTCCGAAAGCCTAGCAGTCCTGAACCCTAAACCCCCTTTGTTGATCCCACTGCTAGCAGGAGCTGAAGGAGTACGCCGCCGAGCAGGGCGAAGAGCTGAAAGCCTGGGACCATCTCTAAGCGCTCTGACAGGGTTTTCCGAGTTCCTTTTTTGGGCTTAAAGGGGGTAGCATTTTTTGTTTAGGCTTGGCTTTTTGAGGTGGAAGGTTGAGGGTCTGAAGGTGTTGTAGGGTGTCAGGGGGCTGGGGAGGAGGAGGGGGTGGTGCGGTTCAGCGACGTCGTCGGGAGGTTGTGCCTGGGGGATGGAGTTTTTTTGAGCCGTGCGATCATTCGTCGAGGTTTTTTTGTTTTCGAGGGGGGGAGGGTTACGTGACTGGCTGCTTCACCCTCGAGAAGCTAGGTTACTCTAGGGCGGGCTATTTGGATGGTGTTCTGCTTCCCAGCCTAGTCGGGCGGCGAGGACGTGGCCCACTGGCGCCGGAGACTGGTCCAAGAGCGCTCCGGTTTCCAGGTGCTTCTGAGGGAAGGATGGGGAACAGGGGTTTGGAGCCTTCAATTAAGATTAATTTAAATGAATCAAAATGAATTAACATTATTGAAAATAAATG